TCTAGAGGAACAATCTTGTTGCTCTGTCTCTCTCTCTCTCACTTTCTCTCTCTCTCTCTCTCTCACACACACACACACACACACACTTTCTCCTGCCAAATAGCACTTTAATCTTTATAACTATATTAATAGTCATTTGTACAAAATTCCACATCTGAAACAAAATTGCATATTTGCAACCTTTGATTGTTAGCAAGTCAAAGTGTGTTTATTAGATTTTGTTTACTAATTGCAGTATGTTGTTTCCAGCTCTTGTAATTTTGCTTCCTAGTAAAGTAGGGAGCTCTTTTCTGTTGCTCCTGGAAATACTAGTTACATTATACTGGGAACTTTTATGCTAGTACATTATTATTCATGCTAGCATTTGGAAACCATCAAATACTATTCATAGCATCTCATGGACATGGTCCTAGCATGTCAGAACCATGAATTGATCCTAATGTGTACTCCTTGACCAGGTCGACCAGGTCAGAGCTCACTAGGCCAAATAACAGTGATGATGATGAGGAGGAGGAGGATGCCAATGTGGATTGGGGGTGAGGATGCTACTTGGCCCATTAGTGACTAGCTATTCCTGAATTGCACCAGAGAAAGAAGGCATGTGAACTGTGTCTGAGTGTTTGATCTGAAATAGTCAGTCAAGACCTGCCTCACATTGCCCATGTTCTGCACTGTATACAAGCTGCCTTTCCTCTTGCCCCCATCCACCACCCCATCAAAAATGCATGCCTCATGCATGTTGCTAGTGACTAGGAAGGGACTAGGAAGGGAACACCACTGATCTATAATTCTTATCTAAGAATTCTTAGATAACATATCTGCATGTCACAGTCAAAGATGCACAACAGGTAGGTTGGGCTGAGAGTCTCTGACTGGCCCCAAGTCACCCAGTTGGCTCCATGGCTGAGCGGGGACTAGAACCCAGGTCGTCTGAGTCCCAGTCCCATGCTCTTAACCACTACACCACACTGGCTCCCACACCACACTGGCTCCCAAATGTTAAGCATTTTACAAGAAAAAGAAAAAAATAACATGCAATTATGGTATGGTATAATTTCTGCATTTTATATTTTATATTTCATAAATATATTTCATATTTTTTGCTGATGGCCTTAAAAAGTTGGTACAACACTGGGAAAATGCATCACAAAGGAGGATGACTATGTAGAAAAGTGATGCAATTTGTTTTTGAAATTCTTAATAAATAGTTTTTTTAAAGTGTGGAAACTTTTTGAAGAACCCTTGTACATTCCTATAAATTGTGCTTGCAATTGGTTCTTGCAAGCCTCCAGACTGAAGGCTTATGAGCATGCAGTGCAGAGCAGAAGCCATGGAGGCCATGCCTCCTTGCCCTTTCAGATGTTTTCAGCCATCTGTATGCTTTGGAGAAGAGGTGAGGGTGTTGGCTGATCATCAGGAGAGCACATATTCTGGCAGCCCCAGTCTCTTCCCTCACCACCCTCTGGAATGCCCCCCTTTCCTTCTCCCCAAGGTGACTTTTCTGATGTCAGAGAAGCATGGTTCTGGGGTGCTGGCTTCAAGGGTTTGGGGAGCAGGCCTTCAGAATGGGTCGGAACTCTTTCTCTGACCTGGGATATGGGAATCCGAAGGATCCTATTTATTTCACGTAGACTGTAAGCCTTGGAACTCGTGGCCCTGCACTACGATAGAATGAGAATAACCTGCAAATGGTGTCATGCGTATTAGTTTATTGCAAGTAGTTTGTCTGCATGTTGATCTTGATGTATTTTTGGCTCTGAGGCTGCCTTTAGTATAGTCATTTTAAAAGGATGTCAGATTCAATGTGCAAATGTGTAAGAGAGTGATCCTCTCCCTATAGACCTCATGTAGAAGCACACAGGATTAACTGGATTTGCAGAACTGAGGGCAGACCTGTGTTCTGACCTCAGGGAGGGGATTCCATGCCCTAAACCTCCTTCCCCCTCTTGCCCCTGCAGGAAGAGGCACTCCAGCTACCTTTCCAAGGTCAGAAAATTTAGTAGAAATCAATCCCTTCCCCACAGGGGAAAAGAAACTAAATGGAGCCTATGCTTAAAAAGAGAAAAAAAAGTCCTATGATTAGAAGGTGGACCTATCAGTCACAGAACCAAACTGGCCCTCACTGCCCCCCACTGTTCCCCGTGTTCATCATCAACAGCCACAGAAATGAAGACAGAAGGCCATATCTGGAGAGGAGAAGGCAATATCTGGGGATGTCTCCTTCTCCAAAGAATGAATCACTAACAAAGCTTAGCTCAGCTCCTGGTTCCATTCTATTCACATTGAAAGGAAGCTCACTTTCCCCCAGGAAGCACTAGAAATGATCTGAAGGGACTCAGTCAACTGAGCTCAAGCAAATCCACTGTACTCCCATAGTAGAAGTTCAACAGTTTGGGACAAAACGTCCAAGAGGAAAGCATCAGCTAGATCTCTGTGCCTTCATATCTA